CTCCCAGCACCGAACCCAGCTCCTCATTGGTACCGAGGGCAGCCGGCCCAGGAAGAAGGCTGCTGTTTCTTTCTAATGTTGGAGAGACTGACCCTGGGCTTCTGTTTTTAAAACATGCCCCTTCCAAATACTTGGCCAGAATGGATCATGCGTCCAGACGGAGGGCGGGCAAGGTGGCCCGCTCTGTCCAGGGCTCTCTGACCTGAGCCTGGATGCCCCATGCCCTCAGAAGACTGCCCTCATCGTCCCCACACCACACACTCAACTCCTTCACTACCACCCGCCAATGCCAGCCTCCCTTCACACACGTTCCATCTGCACCGCTGAGATGACAGCCAGGGTCAGGCTCAGGACACGCACACACGCACGCACACACATGCACACACAGCCCCAAAGCCCTAGCTTCGTTCACCTAGACCCCATCCACAGGCAACCACAGCCGCCAGGGGGCTCATGCGACCCCGACCTCGTGGCCTCAAGTCCTACGGGAACAAGTCATGAGCTCTGCCCATCTCCCCTCTCCACCAGAAATATTAACTCCATACATGGCTTCCTTCAAGCCTGCGAACCTGTGCCACACTCTGCTCCAGCACGCCATCTCAAGATGGAAGAGAAGGACACGATTAGGGCTTTACGAGTGCGGTGACTGCCGTGATTAATAACATCCTCTAACTCACAGGGAATGTTTGTGACGCTGCTTCCAGCCTGGCCCTCCTGGAGAGCAGCGGCGCAGGACCGCCAGGCAGGCAGGCAGCAGAACGGGGAGCAGGACCTCTGACTTCTGCCTCTGGTCAGAAGCCTGATCAGAACACCAGCCCTCCCAAAGCGCACCCAGCCCTCCCAAAGCGCACCCAGCCCTCCCAAAGCGTACCCCAGCCCTCCCAAAGTGTACCCCCAGCTGAGTGAGTTCCCCTGTCCGCCTCCTCACTGCCCACAGCTGTGATCTTGCTCCGTAAGTTGCCCAGCAGTGTCCTGAGCAAGGTCAGGACAGCATGAACCTGCTCACCGCAGCGTCCGTCCCAAGCACAGCCTGAGCACATTCCCCCAGAACACCATGCGTCTCGGACAACAGCTGTGACAGCTGGAGCTGGGACTGGGACCTGCCAATGACCCTGTCCGGGCCAGCACCCCCAGCAGACTGTCCTTCTTGCCTGTAATGGCCCCCAAGTGTGTTCAAGTCCTAACAGGACCTACCCAGGGACAAGCAAGGAAGGGCCCTGTACAGCACAGTCTGGATCTGAAGCCCACACAGAGTCACCTTCACCCCCATCCTGGACTCAGCAAGCCTCAGGGTGACAAGAGAATCTCACAGTGGATAAGGCCAGGCAGGACAGACGCAGCTGGCTTTGGAGGATGCCCTGGATGGCAGGCAGGACACCCTGAAGCAAGGCCCCTGCAGGAGACACCACCCAACTCCGCTCCCTGGGTGAGGACACCCTGCCCATGAGGAATCTTCAGAAACCTACTCAGGACACCTGGCTTGTCATTGCTGGTAGGGCCCTTCTTCTTTGCCACGGGACTTGGACCACGAAAACTCTTCCTATGGAAGCTTCTAGATGGCTCCACAGTATAGCACTAACAGGAAGCATGGTGGAATAAGAACAGCACAAGGTCAAAGGCAGCTCTGTCACTACCCCTCACTTCTTCGGCAAATCTCCAGGCGCTCACTGGACCCCAGACCCTGGGCCACAGCTGGATGGGCATTCAGACACACAGATCCCCGTGGGTGGGGCGGCAGACAGGGAGGTGTGGAAAGGCGCTGGGGACCGTGGGTGCAGAAGGAACGATGGATGATCTTCCCCAGCTGCCTCAATGCACCCTAGAGGGACAGGATGAGGAGACCCCAGGAACAGAGAGCGGGGCCAAACATAAGATTCCACACTGAACAAGCGGCTGTCGCCTCTGGAGAGCCAGCACCAGCCACGCGCTCTCTGACTCCCTGCTCGCTCTTTTTTGCCCTTAGTCTTTGGGCCACGACTCCTCCATGCACAGATGCAGCAAATGTTTAGACAGGGCCAAGCCTCTCAGCAGAAAACAGAGGAAGCAGAGGAGGGATGCCCAAGAGTCCGTCATTGGTGACGGCGCGCAGAACACAGTGACTGACAGCCGGACTGGGCCACAAGGTCAAAATCTACCTTCAGCAAGTAACGCTATCCAGACAAACCCAGCAGCCACAGAGATGCCCGTGTGCATTAAAAAGAAAGCCTGGAGCCAGACGCCGTGACTCATGCTGGGAATCCCAGCACTTTGGGAGGCTGAAGCCGGAGAATGGCTTAAGGCCAGGAGTTCAAGACCAGCCTGGGAAATTGGGCAACATAGTGAGACACTCCTATCTCCAAAAAAAAAGGGCTGGGCACGGTGGCTAACACCTGTAATCCCAGCACTTTGGGAGGCCGACGGGGGTGGATCGCCTTAAGGTCAGGAGTTCAATACCAGCCTGGCCAATGTGGAAAAACTCCATCTCTACTTAAAATATTAAAAATTGGCTGGGTGGAGTGGTGCATGCCTGTAATCCCAGCTCCTTGTGAGGCTGAGGCAGGAGAATCGCTTGAACTCAGGAGGTGGAGGTTGCAGTGAGCCGAGACTGCACCATTACACTCCAGCCTGGGCAACAAGAGTGAAATTTCATCTCAAAAAAAAAAAAAAAAAAATGAGGAGGAGGAGGAAGCCTAGCCCCTAGCCAACTGTTCATATGGCCCAAACACCATTCGGAGGGACCAGATGCCCAACAGCCTCAGAAGAAATATGTGTCTGCGCCAAATGAATGGAGCCCTAGAACTCAACAGCTGAGGAACTCACGGCAAGTTCACCATTCTGTGCCTCAGTCTCTTCATCTGGGAAACAGGGATAACAGGCCCTCCTCCCGGGGTGACAGTGAGAGTAAACTGAGTCACGAACACGGGTCGCTGGTCACCTGGCGCCCGAGTGCTGTGACTAGTATCATTAGTGTCATCACGCGCAGACACCGCCATGCCTTTGCTAATGGCTCGCTGCAGTCACGGTGGAGGTAAGTCCCTTCTCCCCAGCTGGAAGGTGACTCCCCGCTTCCGTCTCAAGCTCCAGCATCGCGAACTTCCGCAGCTGCTCTTCTCACCATGTTCTCCTCGAAGCCTTACAGGTCTAGTTGATGAATTCATCAAAACCTGCTGGGTGCCCATTCTCCTCTAGGTGCTGGGCTGGGCGCTCAGGACGCAAGGGTGTCACCACAGAGGTCCACGCCACAGGCGCTCGCAGGCACACAGGAGAGAAAAACACAGAGTTCCAGGGCATACCAAGCAGAAGGCTCCGTGTCGACAGGCACACTGGTGAGAAAAGCCACATGGCGTGCAGAAAACAAGACCGCACCGTCAGGGACGTGAAGCAGGGGCTGAAGATGTGGCTGGAGCCACCGGCAGGAGCCAAACCCGGGACCTCGCTCTGCAAGCCACGAGGAGCTGTGGAAGGGACTTAGGGACACCTAGCTGCCCATGAGCCCATGAGCCCCTAGACCGAGTCTAGGCTCTTGACCCAGCACCTACAGAGGGCCAGACTCAGGAGGAGTGTCCAGGGAAGGTTCCTGGATGGAGTCAGAGCAGCCACAGGCTGCCAGATGCTCATGGGGCCAGGCCAGCAGAGGAGAGAGACAGGTGACCCAGCCAAAACTCGACTCCTTCAGGAAGTCTTCTTGGATTTGCTGGCCTCCCATAGCCACCTGCATTCACGACCCTGCACCGCTTCGTCCAAACGACTGCGCTACCGGCTTTCTGCGGAGGCTCTGTGACACATCAGGTGGGACCGTGTGAAGGCAGCGGCGCAGTCAGCTGAAGCACTCCAGTTCCAACCAACGCCGGCGTTCTTAACAGAGTACTGTGTCCACATGGGGGGTATCCTAAGCAACAGTCCCCATCCCTGCCTCACAGGCACTAAAGATAACACAGAACAAGCAGATGAGTGACAATCACAACAGGAAACGCTGTGGGAAGGTGAGTGGTCACAAAGGTGAGCCGAGACACGCCGCCAGTGAAGCTGCCGCCAAGCCAGGAGCCGCCAGGAGCTAAAGGCGAGTGTGCAGGGGAGGAGAGAAAGGGCGCCAGGTGTGGCTGCAAAGGCGCCTGGCGGGATGAGGGGCAGAGACGCAGAGACGCACGGGCGAGGCCCATTTTGAGCAGCAACATGGCTCACAGAACTTCCTGTGGTAGGCAGTGCTCCCCACCTGCGCTGACCAACACAGCCGCCACCAGCCACGTGTGGCTACTGAGTGTCTGACACATGAACACTGGACGGAGGGCCGGAATCCTTCACGTTCAGGTCAATGTAAACAGCCACACCTGCCTCGGGGCGACCCCACTGGGAACCACAGACGGGGCTTCCAGAGCCGGAGAAGTGTGCCCTGAGACGACAAACACGAGGCCCCTGGAGAGTTTCTGCGGGGACAGCAGGACCAGCATCATCTGAAAGCCCCTGGCGGGGATGTCCCCATCCCCGGTACCCAGGAAGCACCATCTTACAACTCGGAGAAAGGACAGAAAGGCGTGGAGGGGGAAGCACCCAGGGGCGGGGTCCCCAGCTCCGGCTGGAAGGCGGGCTCCGCTCGTTGACTGGCAGGTCACCATCCGTGCACCCAACAGCAGGCGCTGGCGCGTCCCCGGGACGGTGCTGACCTCCAGGCGCAGGCACCGGGCGCCCGGGCCAGAGCCCACCGATCTGGGGTCTGGAGGGCGCGCGAGGACCCGCTGAGGGGCGCACACGCCCGCGGGCCGGCCCCCGAAAAGCGGCGCTCTTGGGGGGCTGCGGCTCCGGGTCCCTGGCGCCCCTCGGATCCGCCCCCGGCGCGGCCCCGCCCCCTCGCGCCCCCACACCCGGCCCGGCCCCGCCCCCCGCCGGGCCTCCCGCGAACCCCTTCCAGCTGTGTCGCGCCCCACGCCGGGCCCCGGGCCCCTCGCCAGGCCGCAACCGCCTCGCCCTCGCCGCCCACGCCCGGCCCCAGCCAGGCCCCAGCCCCAGCGCCGCCGCCGCCTCACCTGGGCCTCGGTGGCTCGCGGGCCGCTCCGTGCGCTCACGGCGGGGCGGGCACCCAAACATCACGTGACGGCCCCTCCCGCCGCCGGCGCGCGCGCCCTTTTCCGCACCAGCCAATGGCCGCCGGGCCCGGACGCTCGCGGGGACTACCCGCCCCAGAGGTCCCCGCGCGGAGCCGGAAGCGGCGCGGACGGCGGCCGGCTGGGCCAAGAGGCCTCTGTGGGTGCGCGCGCGAGCCTGCCTGGGGATGGGCCTCGGTTTCCCCGTTTTGCACACGGAGATGACGACGAGGATGGAGGTCACGCGGAGGGCGGAGGCCCGGCGCAGAGGCGCTTCGGGAGCGGGCTCCGCCCAGCCCAGGCCGAGCCCGGACCTCGCACGGGCTCCGAGAAGCTCGAGTTCCTGCGGGGCTGCGCGGGCGGCGCGTCTCGGCCGGGGGCCTGGCACCTGCGGGTCTCGGGCCGCGGGGCCCCAGGGCAGGCTGCGCGGGCTCCGCGTGGGGCCGTGCCAGGGGACCCCGGACGCCCAGTGTCACCGACGAGGAAACTGAGTGTCGAGACATCTGAGGGACCTCTGCCCGAGGTCGCAGCCCCCCCCCGGGAGGAGACCCTCCTAGGGACCCCTTCCGCGGGGACCTGCCTGCGGGCACTCTCCCCATAACCCACTGGAGAAGCGACCTGGGAGGAACCTGGGGACATGGGTGTGTGTCCGCGGGCCGCCAGGGTCCGCTTTCAGCCTGTTTCCCTGCAGTGAACCAAGAGCCACACCCAAGGCAGGAGAGCCGGCGTGGTGAGCCCGCCGCCTCTCTCCGGCCGGTGGAGGTTCCCCGGCCGCTCTCGCGCCAGGACGCTTGCTCTCACTGCCTGTGAGACCCACGCGAAGCCCTGGTGGCAGCCCTGGGCTCCCGAGAAGAGCCTTGCCGAGCTCCTGGGAAGAGGCGTGCCCTCCCCGTCCCCCACTGCCCCCTTGGCTGGGGTTCTCTGCAGCCCAGGACTGTGCGCGCGTGTGCACACGGGTTCTGTGCACAGGAACACAAAAGTGTACTCGTGGACAAGGCGTGGTACTGTGTATGCATACAGCGCACGTGTGTGCCTCAGAGTGCACAGTGTGTGTATGCTGGCACACGTGTGTGCCAGGCTCGAGCATGGGAGCAGGAGTAAATGGCACAAATGTGTGTGTGCACACGTGTGGGAGGGAAGAGGGGCACACACCCACCAGCGTGCATGTGGTCAGGCCGGCCTGTCCTGGCCCCACCCAGGCTGCTTGCTCTGGTGCACTTAAGTCTCACCTAGCCCCAGGAGGCAGTGACGTGTGCCTATCTCACCACCCAGTCAGGGTCTGGATGGGCTTCAGTCTTCTCCCAGGTCAGCTGGAGTGCAGGGAAGCCAGCTCCTGCCCACGGAGGATGCCGGTGACTGATGACCCCCACTTCCACTTGAAGGGGAAGGTTCGACGGGACCAATGCCTGTGGGAGAGCTGGCAATCCGGACTGAGGATGCCGGGTGCCTGGCACGGTGCCCACCTTCCCTTCAGTGGCTGGCACCATCTCTCTGGCCACTGCCTTACTCAGTCTCCTCTGACAGCTCCGTGCTCAGGTGTGAAAGCGAGGGGAGGGTGAAGCCCCCTTCCCCTCGAACCACCTCCAAGAGCTGCTTTCTTGACCACACGAGGCATATATGGGGCTGTTTCTGTGCCTGGAGACTGCAGGGGGGATGGTCGTGGGCTGCGCCCTCCAGAGGAGGGGCTCCATACCTGTTGGTTCCTCCAAGATCGGGTGAGCCCGCCTGAGTATCCCACAGCAAGTCACAGAAGGTGAACCTCTCCGTGGGAGATCCAGGAGCCCACTCCCTCGGGCTGAGCGGATGGAGAGGGGAAGGAGGATGCTGAGGGGTCATTGGGAAGAGCCAAGGGAAATAGCCAATAGCCTCCCAGGGCCTGGGGCTGGGGCCGGGGCTCCCCTCCCTTGCGGCATCTCTGCCTCTCCCTGGAAGAGGTCATCACATGACTTTGGGCAGCTCTGGGCTCTCTCCCTCTTCCAGAGAGGCAGGATCCTGGGGAAGAGCTCTGGCCCCACCCTTGGCCAACCAGCGAGACCAACAGGATAAATAAGTGGCATTGGCCCTGCACAGTGAGTTCTGTTACCTAAGGGGTGGGGTTGCCTGGTCCTCAGCTGGCACCCCCCCCCAAATTGGATCTGCCATTCCAGGTCCCGGAGGGAATGTGGGCAGCAAGGTTGGGGTGGTGCCAAGGCCTTCACAAGGAACCTTGAGGCAGCACCCACTGAAGCCAACCCCAGAAACACTCCCTCTGTGAACAATAGCAGGGACTTCTCAGGGCTTAAGCGGAATTTCCAGCTCAGTGTCCACCTGTGGATTTCTGGTGAGTTTCCCTGCCCTCCCACCCTTCCTCTCTGCCCTCTGAAGCCCGGCTCCAGCATCACCTGCTCCGGGACCGTCCCTAGCTCCACTGCAGCCCTGCCCTGACGGGAGAAGGTGTGTGCACCTCCCGCTCTGCTCACGGCACAGCTTTTGCTCCAGCAAAGCGCACAGGCACCCAGCGGCCCCCCGGAGCGCCCACTCTCACTGCCACCCAGGCCTCCTTTGTGCCTTGGACACAGAACTCCAATTTTGTTCAAAGCATCAGTGTACCCAGCCTCGCCAGCAGCTGGAGCCTGCTGTGACACAGTTTGCCCAGGGAATGACTGCAGGAGACACAGGAAGCCTCCTGGCCCTTCGGAAGGGGCAGGTGTGGCCGCCCTCACTGATGGCCTTCCTTTCTCCTTGCTCCAGCCTGGCATGTGGTCATGGTGTCCCAAGAACAGCAACCATGTGGCCAGCAAGGGCCAGGGTCCCAGCAGCCACCTTGGTGCCCCAAGGCCACTGTCAGACTCATCACCATCGGGAGAACAAGCCCTCGTTCCCTTTACGGGGCTGCCTCATTTGATTTCATGAGGTTTTCTGTAACTCAAGCCAGTGCCACTTCTGTTGTAGCTGATTCGGGCTCCTAAGCTCACAGGGGGTGGGACATCCTTCTGTTAGCTTCGTCCTGGCCCCCAGCAGCAATGGCTCCTTGCGGACAGGCCCTGAGAAATGGCCTGGAAGAGCTTGTGAGGAGCGAGGGCACAGGAGACACCCTCCCAGGTGCGTCTTTCCCACATGTCCCCAGGCAGCCCAGCCTTCCAACCACGTCTTAAAACATAAAAAATGGGGAGGAGAAGAAACTTTGGTCCTAACACCTAACCAAGCCCTGTCTTGCTGCGTGATGTTTAGCCTGAGGCACCCTTTCTCTGGGCTCGTTCACCAAAGCCGCTAATGTGGGAGCTGACTGCAGGGCAGAGCACTCATGAGGTCTGCCCAAGAGTGAGGTTGGTAAAGGGCTGGCAGAACCAGGGGCGTGGGGCATGTGGGAGGGTGGTGAGCCATTCCCTCATCACCCACGCCAGGGTAGTGTCATGGGGGAACACGTGGGGGTCTCTGGGAAGGGCCTGGCGCAGACCCAGCACGTGGCAGGGGTCAGACCATCCAAGACTCGGTCTGCGTCATCGACACCCGTCTCTTAGAAACCAACTCCAGCCTGACGTGCGGAACAGCCTCCTGAGGTGATGAACAGTGAGCAGGAGTGACGAAAAGCAAAATGAAGTAAAAGAACAGAGAATCCGCGGACGGGCGTGTAGAGTGCTATTCTTGCTAACGCATTGTCCAAGGAAGGAGAGTTGCCACGTTTCCTGGGAACGCTCCCCGCCGGACCCCCGCCGGCATCCCTGAGCCTGAGATCAGCAGGTGGGGACCAGGGGACGGGAAGAGCCTCTGCACTGCAACGCCTTGGTCCACCCAGGTCGCACAGCCACCGCTGGGCCTGTTGCTGGCCACAGCTGCCCTCCTTCCCAGCCAGAGTCCATCCCATCTGCAAAGCCTGTCTCCTCACTCACTCATCCAGCAAACCCTTACTTCCATGCCAAGCAGCATGCTAGGTTCTGGGGATACCGTCCAGTTTGATTTGGTAGCTAACGACAGAACAAACCCAAGTCTCAGATGGTTGCTTTTCATGTTGTATTTTCACGTCCAGGTAGGCTGTAGGACTGGGGAGGTGGCCTCACAATCATCAGGACCCCAGGCCCCCTTAATCTGGTTGCCCTGTCAATCCCCAAATAGGCCTTCTGCCTCGTGGTACAAGACAGCTGCTGAAGCACCAGCCATCATGCCTGCTTTCATCCAGAAGGGAGGAAACGTTGGCATACTCTTCCCAACCTCCCAACCCACACTTTTATGGGTGCTGCTGGATTCTGCGCCCACCACCTCCACTTATAGCCCCCTTGGCCACAGCTGGGTCCCTTGGGTACTTGGAGCTGCAGGAGAAGCTAGGTCGTGTCTCTACCCCAGGGGCTGTGGTTTTGGCTAAGAGCTGTTTTTGACTCCTGCGCAGAGTAAGGAGGGAAGGATGGCGTTACCCGGCAGTCTCGGCATCAGGACACAGCCCTGTGTACCACCTGGCAGGCAGGCAGGGGTCAGCAACCTGCACACCACACGTGTGCTCAGGGAACCTGTGCCGAGGCCGTGCGGGAGCGACGGGGCGTGGGGGAGCCCAGGGGGAAGGCCCCTCAGTGAGGAGAGCAAAACGGGTGAGACTTGAGGGGTACATTTCCAGGGGCGAGCTGTGAGTACCACGGCAAGAGAGGAGCCAGCAACACCCATGTCCCACCATCCGCTGTGGGCACGTCTTGACCTCTCCAGCTACTCGGGGCTGTGGGGGCTGGCCGCCCCATCTCCTGCCCCCTCATTTCACAGGGAGGAACCCAGCAGAGGAGGGGCAGACACAGGGTCCAAGACCAGCCCCAGCCACTCTGAACCCAGCCCATGTCCCCTAACCCCAGGCCCAATCTCTGCCTCCTCATCCTGGCACCTCCCCTCTCCACACACTCAGCCTGTATCGGCCAGGAGGTCACAGCCCTGCAGAGTCACTGGTGAGCCCAGGGACTTTATTTTGTTCGGCTTTTTTGTTTTTTGTTTTGTTTTGTTTTGAGACAGGGTCTTGCTGTGTCCCCCAGCTGGAGTGCGGGGGTGCAATCACAGCTCACTGCAGCCTCGACCTCCCAGGCTCAAGCGATCCTCCCACCTCAGCCTCCCTAGGAGCTGGGGCTGCAGGGGCATGCTCGCAGTTTTTGTATTTTGTATTTTTTGTATTTG